GATGATAAAAATGCATATGGTGAATGCGGCAACATTGTGCATTGCCAATCATGCTTAGAAACGACTGGAAAAGGGAGCAACCTGTTATCTAAGCAAAACACCGTTTTGCCTACACACCTACACCGCAGTTTAACTAAACGCTCATCGGTTCTGTCATTATATCGTTACAGTGCGAGCATATATGCTCCCGCTGTATATGTTTCTTAATATACGAAACATACATGCAGGACAAACTTTTTGTTCAGCCAAACATACTATGCGTAGCTTTTGCTGCGAGCCATAATTAAACTAAATTAGAATGTTTAATAGTGCTTCCGACTTCCGCCACCGTTTTGCATTTGAATATACGCCTCACAAAATTATCGTTGCTGTCATGAGCTTGTAGTTTTTAGCTAACAATCAACAGCCCTCATTATTTTAGGAAGTACGGTCTAAACGACTCCATGAAACTAACATTGGTCATCTATATAAAACTCCACGTTCCAAGTTGTTACAATAATCATTGTTACGATTTGTAACTATGACTACACTTACGGTCGGTGTCCGGCAAAGATTTGATTGAGAAAAATCGACTAAGATAAGTCGGATTGGAAAAAACCGAAAGGTTTTCGTACCTCGACGATAGTAACGAAAGTAGAGGTGGACAAAATTCGAAAGACCAAAAATCCACACGGGCAACATTCGACAGGAATGAAAGCCAAGCCATACAAGATCAGGAAGGCAACCAAGACAAAAAATTGTCTGCGCATGAAGAGACATTTCCACGAGGACGGTTACATAGTTGAGCAATTAAATACCTTTGTGCACTACAAATAATGCATGAGACAATTTTCTTAATCTGCTTGTTGATGCTCCCATGGATTGTAAACGTAACCTTTTGTGTGCGACCGAATATAGCCGAGTGAACAGATCCATTGCATGGTAGCGAAAAAAGGTTATTATTCAAGAGCTAATCGCCACTTTCTTCCCCGCGAACAAACGCGCCTGCTGCGTAAGATTGCTTTGCGCGAGCCAGTCCTGGTGCCGGAACCAGGAAGGGTCGTGGACAAGAGTCTAACCAGAGATTTTGAAGATTTCGCGGATTGGGCAAGCCCATGGGTACCCATATGAAATTAATGACTGGCTGGGTCGGGTACAGATTTTGGGACATACTGGGTATGGGTACATGTATGGATAAGCCGTTCAGAAAACGTTGGGTAGACCTTTAATGCAGATTAGACAATATCTGGTGCTTTTGCTTCTTCCAGTCATAATAAGCTCCATTCACAAACGTTTTGCAATTAGTAGAGCAAAGAGGTAAGCTTGGTAAATATTATCTTGAAAATATTCGCATCATGCAGAGCTAAGGCGCTGGACCACGTAAACAGGGGGGTAACGTATGGGTACATCAGGAATGGCCTTATCAAGTTTGTCTCCTCAGTAAAGGCAGATGTTGCTTATCTCATCACAGATAGGTTTAAAAGCGAATTCGTTTAACCCGAGACACCGGCCTGCTTCGTAATTGTAGCGAAGCAGCTGTCTGGCCGTCGCGCCGGACGTGGCTCAGACCAAACGTTGGGTGCCGTCACCGCAGCGTATTTTCTTTTTTGAAATGCTCCGCGCGCCGATGTGCGTCTCATGCGCTTTGAAATCAGCCTGAGCGTAATAGGTGCATGTATTTAGAACCCATGAAACAGCGCACAGACCTCTCCGCCGCCCGAACCGGCTCCATGTGGTAGCATACGAGTTTATTGTGTGAGAGGGGTGAAGTGAAATCGCAATGAAACATTTTTGAAAATATTTTTAAAAGGTGCCACCTGGCGGTGCAGTTGAGTGGACAGTGTAAGGTAGAGGGGCGGCATTTTCAGGGAGATGCCACGAACATGTTTATTTTTTCGAAGACAGCATTATCGTGGTGGCGCTTCAGCCTCAGCGTCAGGGTCGGAGCGCAGGGATGGAGTTCCACCACTTCTTAATACAACATACTGGAGTGGGTGACGGGCGGGTGTTGACACTGCTTTGTGAATAAAATTTATGAATAGCGAATGTATGGGGTAAGGGACATTTTATCCGTAAAGGTCTCTATAAAGATTCACCAAGAACCAGAATCCTGCACTGAGTGGTGTTGAGAGAATCAGCAAGAATCACTATCCAGTTTGACACGTGACCAGGGGATCCGGTGAGAAGCAAGCTCGGGCTTAGAATGTGCGCAGGAATCCAGCAAGAAAAAAACATGAACCAGCCCTAAGTTACGCCGAGAGACACAGCAAAAATTAAGATTCAGCTTGGAATATGGCCAGAAGCCAACCAAGTAGCCAGATGCAGACTGGAATTATGCCGAGGATCCAGCAAGTTTTCGGATCCAGTATAAAGTTAGGAGATCCAGCAAGAAGTAGAATCATGCTTTAAATGCTTCTCAGGAACAGTGGAGGTATCGGTACAGTGCATTTAAATTATGGACGTTGCGCTTGTAAGTATTGCGGGATAATTTGCAACCTATATTTTCACGGATGGAATAGTTGTTGGGACTGTTATCCTCCTCTGGTGTGTTGGTATGCACAAGATGTTTCGGCCAGTTAGCTATCTGCCCATATGTTGATGAGTCCTGAGAAAACTAGATGATGTTAGGCCTGCAGCCACGTACGCGTCACAACCCGAAGTTTCTCCTTGAAATTGCTGGCTACTGAACCGGGGTCTTTTGATTCCGAGTCCAGTGCTCTACCAACTAAGCTTCCCAGCTGGATCGTCAACTTGTCCTTCCGGGTTAGCTCCGCTTTGTAGAGCACTGGTTTCTCTATCAAAAGACCATAATTGCGATCTCAGCAATGCCAAGGAGAGAATTCGGGCTGTGACGTGAACATACATGGCTGAGAGCCTCGCACCATCCGGTCCGACCCATTCACACCCGACGGCCCGAGAGACAATGGGCCGACATGTTGTGTGCGTAATAACGCACCAGACAAGGACGATAGTCTGAACAATTACTGCGCTCGTGATACTAATACCTCGCCCCAAGCATTCCATTTTTTTTTTTTAGTGATATCAGGTAATTTGTCTTCAGCGGTGGATGGTGGGTGCTGCCAAATGGTAACCAGAGTTGGTGTAGACCACTGAACCAATGAGAGGCACGAACTAGATCTGGAGCTTTCTAAGTGATCCATTTGGCACCGCAATATGAGGAACCAATGAGAACCAGTGACTGGGCTTTGTGAATGCACCACTGGGAACCAGGGCCGGGTGTTTGTGAAATAAGTGGTGGGAACCAGAGTCTGGCGTTTGTGGAAAGTCAATGGGAGCCAGGAACCGGGTTCTGCAGAGCCCCGTTCAAACACCATGGTGATTGTGAAAATGGGAGCCAGGAATTAGTTTCAGATAGTTGTCAGCGAGCCAGAAAGAACCAGGAAGCCATAATTGCATTTCGAAAAACCCAGTGAGGATCAGGAACTAGGGTGCAGTGTTTGCGAAACGAGAAATAGAGCCGGGAATCAGGGGTGCACTTATGAAAGAACCAGACACAACTAGGATCCAAGATGTTGTTCTCCAGAAGGGGGAGTATGAAAGAGGAGCCAGCACTGGAAGCCACGCATGTGCCTGTCCAGGATCTCGGCTAACGAAACAATGGGATTCGCGACGGGGCATCGCCGCTGTGCCTCAACTCCTGCTGTGCGCGCCTGAGTCTCTCGCGACCGTCCCAGTCAGTAACTAGAGTGTTTTCAGCAGCGTGGATAGATGCTAGCAGGGTTCTCATAGCAGATCGGTTACCTGATAGACAGAAGGCGTTTTGCGTATGGTTCTGTTGGGAAGGTGCGACGGTTTGATGCCTCCAGGAGTGTTTCCATGGGTGAGCGCGCGGGCCCGGATTGGAGGACCCAGAAATGCGAAGTAACGAAACCCCATGGTCACGTGAGTGCATTTGGATGCAGTCGGCGTTATCCCTTTCCATGTCAGGCTTCAAATCCTGAATGGTCTGCTGCCTTGCATCCGCTTTACTACCTGCGTTCTTTGAATTGCTTTCTGACCTGGCTTTCATTGGCTTTCTGTGGACTTATATTCTTTGACTTTTCACGAGTTTAGTTATATCCTCGTTGTTTTATCTTGGTGCTGTTCAAAGTTATACATTCAGTTTTTACGCATGTATGTTTTATTTCTTTTTTTCCTTTCTCCGTTCGACTTCCGGCTGGACTTTTTGTGTTGTCTACCATTATATCTTTCAACTATGTGCGTTCGACTCTTTATTCGGAGTTTTTCCTTCGACTTCTTCCATTAAACTTTGTGTCTTGAAACCTTTACACCCCTTATTATGTCCTACAGGTTGAAGGCGTGACCAACGGCAGTCTAACACCATTGCCTTCCTTGAAATCTGCGTGCACTGTGTCCGAAAGACAAGCAGCCATCGATGCTGCTAATTTATGTTTTCAAAACTTTCCATACAATGTATTACGTGCTTGTCCAGCATGCTATTGGGCCTACAGGAGCTTTTTCACACTCGCTCCGCGGGGGTGGGTGGGTGGGGGACCAGATAGGTACGTTTGAACAATGGAGGTCAAACCAGGCCAAAGTGATCTCAATCTGGCTCTTTATAGGCCCCTCCTGTTCTCTCAAGAACTAGTCATTCTATGACAACGAAAGATGACGGTTATAGCGTTTAGAAAGCATATCTATATGATATGAAACCAGATGACGTTTATAGCATTTGTATCAGATATAAGTACCGGTGGACATCGACGCATGTAAGCAGTAATCTCACGGCAGGTCAAAGGGGTCAACGCGATCGTTGCATTGGCCCCTTGGACTATATCAAGGACTATACGAGTTGAATTACAAAGGTGACAGTTGGCCTTGCCTGACATTGTATGTCCTAACCATGACAAATTCCAGAACAATATAAATTCGCTTCAGAGTGATATGAATACAAAGGGAGTTAACGAAACCTCTGTGCAATTTGTGTGCTCTATGCTCTGTGCTCTGTGTCAAATGTGCTCTGAGTGCAATTTCTGCGATAGTTGAGCGTTAGGTATCCTTTACTTTTAAGCAAAATGTCACCAACCGGACATCGAGGATTACGTTTTATACCAAGAACAGCCCGGGTCAGCCAACGTAATGCCTCAGAACGGGTGTTTATAAACGATGGGAACTCATGCATTATTTACCTCTGCACAGTGCTCAAAACGGCTCCGAAGTTATTCAGGAAATCTCTTAACAGCCTGAATGAAACAAAGATCCGGGAAGCTCATGGTCCCGCCATCCGCCATCCCAGGGTCGGCTGCCGGCCCCCGATTTATCTTTGCACAGCACAAGCAACAGAAACGACACGCCTCGCACTATGCCTCCCACGTTACCAATGCAGTGCCTTGTCCAATAAGTGTCAAACCCCGATAGAAGTAGCTTGGAATGTGGAAATGAATCAACCACAGCATAAACTGTATGGATGTGTTATTTTGTGACACGCTACGTCCCGGTCCGTTAGTTTGTTCGGTGTCCTTCGGGCGATGCAGACAAAATTCAGCAAGACTCGCGCGGAGTTACCATGCAAGTCGTAGCAGCTTTATCTAGCCTGGAACGTGTACACTGGCGTACAGTTATTACCTCAGGTCAATGTATATGTGTCTCCAGTTTCACCCGTGACATTTGCATGCGCGATATTTAGTGGTGCAGGGGCTGTGCAGTATTGCGTGATGCAGGGTGCCCTAAATGCTTAAGTTGAATGACGCAGGGCGCTTTCAGTGCGCGTCAAAGGCAGTCAAAACAGTCAAACGCGATGACAATAGGCTAATCTGGTTACTTTAAATATCTGGTAAGGGTGCTACTCCCCAGTCCCGAAACCCAGATGGACCGGCGGTGGCGCGCCTCGGGCAGCTAGCTCACGACGGTGATTACCGGGGCAGCTCAACCACGGCGATGAACGCCGGGCAGTCCAACTCACAGTAGCGG